TGCTGTCAGACCCCAGGACCAGCATGTACCCCCAAACCTGTCCCTGCGCTGAGACAAGCCCTCACCAGACACGCGGTCAACACTGTACATCCTCTCCAGCTTCTTGCGGCGGCCGGGGGCCTCAGGCAGAGGCGGCTGGTCCAGCCCAAAGGCCCGAGGGGTGGGGCCAGGAGCCAGCTGGGCACATCCGGGACATTCCTTGGAGCCCTGGCGGCTGCCCGCCCAGCTCTGGCAAGGCCTGCTGACGTCCTCCCGGCTGCCGCCAGGGCTGGCTCGCAGGGGCTGGCTGTGGTGGTGAGTGTGCCGCTGCCGCCGCCCCTTCACCACGGCCAGCTCAATGGCCTCCGCCTCAGGGCTGGGCAGCAGGGCAGGCTCCCCGGAGATGGTGTACACTCGGGGCTGGGGGCCTTCGCCTGCGGGCTTCCTAATGCCGGGCTCCTCTGAGAGGCTGCCCTCGTAGCAGCCGTTGGAGACGAGGGACAGGCGGCGCTTGTTCTGGGGGGCTGGCTGCATCTCGGGGGACCCGTCGTGGCCAGAGTAGGCATCAGCCAGCAGGTGATCTGGGAGAGACAGCAGGTGAGCCTGCAGCTTGTGAGGCCCCCCTGCAGGTTTCATAGCAGGCTGAAGGCAGGAAACACCCAGTGGGCACCTGGCCTCTGTCGGGGGCTGGTGCTGCCCAAACCCTAGTCTCTGGCGCCTTCAGGAAATGTGTTTCTGAGCCCCTCATTCCTATCTGCCCCTGAAGCCTCTGCATGTGCGTGGGGGCAGGGTGACTCCATGCTACCTGTGTGCCGTCCTGCCGGGTAGGAACAGGCAGGCCACCCCCTAGCCTGTGATCGCACCGTTTGCCTGGTGCCAACTTCCCCCCTCCCCCCACCAGCTGGCCCCCAGAGGCAGTGGTGCCAGCCCTGGGGGAGCCAGGAGGCCTGTTGCCATGCCAACGGCCCAGGCGGGGTGGGTGCCATGGTGACGAGCGCTGGGAGCTGCTCCTGGGGCTCGGGCAGGGAGGGCAGGGGATGTGAGGAAGCCAGCCCTGCAGGGCGCCGGGCCCACGCACAACCACTGCCCCTCATGCTCCACCCCCGGAGGCAGGGACAAGCATCCCCTGGGCTGGGGGGCCTGGGCGGCCCTGGCACGGCCTCACATGCCCCTACCTGCGCCGTTGCGGCTCTCAGGGTGACTCTGGGACAGGTACTCTCCAAATGCTCGAGCTGCCCTGAGGGTGGACAGAGAGGGCACGGTCAGAGGCCGCGGCACGACCCTCCCAAATGCCCGGCTGCAGCAAGAGCCGGGGTTCCCATCCCCAGCCAGGCCCTCGGCGTCTGGAGGGAGGGTCGGGGGTCTCCCCCGCCGCAAGCCCACGCACCCTTGGTCCCGGTGCGCCCTGGACAGGCCTGCAGGCCCGGCGCCTGTCCGTCAGCCCGTGGAGAGGGGTCGCGAGGCCCGGCGGCCGCTGTCCCCTGGGGAACGGAGGCCATTCCCGACCCGGGGGTGCGCTGGCCCACCACGCGCTCGCGAGAGTAGGGCAAGGCAGGGGGCCAGGAGGAGGGAGGCGCGGCGAGAAGCCCCGGGAGGGGGCGCGGGGCGCGGAGCACCGGGAGGGCTCCGCAGTGGGAGAGGCCGGAGCCCGGGAGCCCGGGAAGCGCCGCGGGGCACGGGCGGACTCCGGCGGGGTAGGGGGTCCGGGGCTGGGGTCCCGGGCAGGCGGCCCCGCCGCACTCACCGCACTTTGGCCGCCACCGAGGACATGGCCTCGCTCCTCAGCGCCCTCCTCCTGGAGGCGGCGGCGCCCATGGTCGAGGCGGCGGCGCATCCCCCGGGCCTCAGAGCGCGCCCCGCGCCCGCCGCCTCCGCCGGGGTAGCCGCGCCGCGCCGGGGGTCGCGCTCGGGCTCGGGCTCGGGGTCTCGCTCGGGCTCCGGCTCGGGCTCGGGCTCGGGCTCGGGGTCGGGCCCGGGCCCCGCATGGCCGCACCCGGCGCTCCGCGCGTGCCGCCGCACCCGGGAGAGCGCTGCCCGGACCGAGGGCCGGCCCCGCCCACCGTGACGTCAGGGTCCGGGCAAGCTGGGAGGGGCAAGCCGACCCCGCCCACCGTGACGTCAGTGCCCTGGTGGGGTCGAGGGGCGGGGCCGGACGGCCTGGCTCGGTGCCCTCTCACCGAGGCCTCCAGAGTGGGGAAACTGAGGCCAGCGGCCCCTATGTTCGCAAAGTCCTGGGCCCTCGGCCCTCCCGATCTGCTGCTCGGGCCTGCAGGGGTCACAGGGCGGCCGCTTCTTCCTCCTCTTACACAAAAGGGCTCCCTGTGCAGTTTGGGACTTGGAACCCGAAGGGATAGCCGGCTTAGAGGGCACCCAGTGTGCACGAGGCCAGAGGGAGCCAGAGGGGCCCGTCTTGGTCCTGGGGAACCACAGCTGCATGCAGACTCTGGGCGCCCAACCTGCCTGGCCTGCCCTGGGGCTCTCAGGCCCCAGCGGCGGGGTCCTTTGAGGACTGGGGACTGCCCAACCTCAGGGGCTGCCGCATCAGGGACAGCCAGGAGTGTTTCTTTGCCACAGGGAGACACGTCCAACAGTCAGATCCACCTTTATTGAAACATCAAACGGCAGCATCAGGGCTTCCATACCTCGCAGGGCTTCACGGGGCCCTCACCGGGCTTCAGGGAGGCTCACAGGGCTTCATGGGGACTCACAGGGCTTCAGGGGGCCCTCGCCGGGCTTCGGGGGGCCTCACAGGGCTGCAGGGGGGCTCACAGGGCTGCAGGGGGGGCTCACAGGGCTTCAGGGGAACTCACAGGGCTGCGGGGGGGCTTATAGAAGTTTCAGGAGGGTTCCCATGGCCCTGTGTGCAGGACTGCCAGGGCAGAGAAGAGGCTCAGAGGCCCCTGACATAGCCAGGGGCTGAGGGAAAGCTGGGCCTTCCAGCAGGGCAAGTACAGAGGTCCCTAGGACTTGGCAGGAGCCTCAGCCTTGGGGGAAGTCCCACAGAAGACACTGCATCCAGGCTCTTCAGCAGAGGCTCTACCCATCCTGGTCAGAGGAACCCTCAGACCGTTTTTCGAAAGGCAGGCTGGGGTGTTGAGGCCGCAGGGAGGACTCATCCTCCTGCAAGCAGACCACATGGTCCAGGTGAGGACCAGGTAGGGCCGGGGCCATAGGGAAGGAACGGCCGGCTCAGGGACAAGGCACCGAGGCTCGGCTGAGGGCACCAGGTGGGGCCATGCCCAGCTGCTCACCGAGTCTGAGCCCTGCTTGGCCAAGGTGCTCTGGAAGTCTGCGTATGCACCCCTGGGGACGTCCGGCAGCTCCTCCTCATACTCCGTCTGGTAGTCAGATTCGTCTGGTGCCGAAGGGAGGGCCGCATCAATCCCCTCCCCAGGAGGGGACCATGCCCAGCACAGCCACACTCAGAGGCAGAATCGGCCACAGATGCCCACCCCCACCCCTGGGTGGGCTGGGGCCCCACACGCAGCAACCTGGTCCCGGGGTGGCCCCACACACCACCCCTGGTTCTGTCTGCCTCCAGCCTTGCCCCAGCCCAGCACTTGGTGCATCTTCCACAAGGATAAGGAGCGGGCAGACACTTCTCCCCTCCAGCCAGGCACCCTCAGGACTCCAGCCAGGCACCCTCAGGACTC